AGACCATGCTTATACGTATGGGGAGCAAAAGATGCATGGTGTATACTATTACTAATACGGCGCGCCGATAATATCAGTGGTACTTAACTCGATCCTATACAAGCTACAATTGCTGCAAAAATAACCTAGGCCTCGGCCTAGCTAGGCCCTATAATATATTAAGTGTGATGGATTTGACGGTCTCTATCGACCGATCGATCATGACTCACAGACCATGCTTATACGTATGGGGAGCAAAAGATGCATGGTGTATACTATTACTAATACGGCGCGCCGATAATATCAGTGGTACTTAACTCTATCCTATAAAAGCTACAATTACTGCTCTTTAGAATGAAATAGAATAAAGAGTGTATGGCTGGGTGCTTTCTCAGGCCCGTATGCAGGATTTTTATTGGGTGGGTGGGAATCTGTAGAGAGTGAACTAAAATGACTGGGGGCCGCAGATTTCTGGTGGATCAAGTGGACGGAGCCGGCCCCTCGCGCTCGAGCTCAGACATTTTTGATAATTTGAGGTCTTAATTGAATCTCAAGATGCAATATCAATGGTATTAAATGGTTTTTCAGTAACAGATTCAGGAAATAAGGGGGAGGGTGCTAGGGAGAGATTTTCACAGATGAAGTGTTCACACCACCTCAGCCCCACCATGGGCCGGAAATGACACTATAAAGACTCAAAGATTCGTAAATAAATCGAGGTAGAGTAAAATATTCCTACATATTGGGCATACACATAATAACCTAGATGTTTCAAGCACAATGTTAATAAAACATTGTTAGATTTACGTAATAGAAGTAATGTAGGCTAGTACCGCACAATGAAATCAAGGAAATAATATTATTGGGCATTGAAAATATTAAATTTACCATAAAGGTAAATGTTAGGCCTTATATGAATAAATGCAATTAATGAAAATTGCAAATATTCACAAGCGCTTTACGACGTGAATGAGATGGGTAGACGTAAAAAATATATCAAATCGAGAATGCATAAACTAAGCCTATTGATCTTATTAGGAACAATTAGGGAAAACAATTAATCCATTTGTTGTTGTTTTGAGGCGAATATAACGCGAGCGCAGCAGGTAAGTGTTCGTAAAGTGCTTGCACATTCGCAACTTGTAATCAGTGGCGGATGTAGGAATTCAAAATAGAGGAGGCCAGGGAAGGACTTTCCAATTGACTTTTTCGAATGAGAGTTTTAAAGTGTTGAGTTTGCGAAGTATGTGTTTAAGGAAGCCTGGAGTTTGCGAAATGTGTTTAAGGAAGCCTGATGGGAAAATGTTGGAATGGGACGGATGGCAGGGGCGGATTTAGGGGGGCGGCCCGGGCCCCCCTTTTTTTGGGAGGTAAAAAAAGAAAAAAGAAAGAAAAAAAAAAAGAGAGAAAAAGAACAAAAAATGATAGCCCAGAATGCCTCAAATTTTATGTTCGGGCGTCTAGAACACAAACCCCCTACGACAGTGTTGTCTCAATCGGCTCAACTTTCGTCCCCCTTCCGGACCCCAATTTTGGACATTTCTGGATCCGCCCCTGGATGGATAGTTTTGTGAATGTATACTGTACATTTGTACGTGGGCGAAGCTTCCTATTGCCTCTATAACGGATGGTCATTAATGGATCTCTGCCTGCATAATCAAATAAAAACCGTCAATAAATATCTTTGACCACAGACCTGAGAGTCAATGACCTCCACAGGCATGTATATACGCGCCACTTGAAATGTAAATGTCGTCAGACTGGCGGGATTTTATCCACGTTCACACAAGGTCGCGCTGTGTGTGTAAGCATTGTTGATGAAGGGAATTGATTTTCTTTCCTCCATGCATGCATGGTCTAAGAGCGGTATTATTGTACGAATTTCTGACACACGCGGTTTTAAAGGGTCAAGTGCTTCATTTATAACGCGGTCAGCTGCAAACAATAGGTAGTTTTCGCCACATGACGTTAACGTTAACGGATGACGTCCTAATTTATTCATCTTGCGTTGCGGAGTACGTTAATTTCAGGATTTTACGTGCTTGACGTACATTAGTTACGGGTTTGCGCATGCGTATTTCAATTTGTTTACAAAAGGGGCGGAGTTATTGCGTTGCATGTTTGGTACTAACGTTATAGTTAAGGTTAACGTCGTTTACCTATTGTACCTGTTAAATTACACCACCATTTCAATGTAACCGGTGTATCTAAAGACTCATTTTTAACGTAATAATGTGATTTCGACAATAGCCGATTTTTTTTTCTTTTATTTTAAATGTGTGAATTATAATTATATTAGAATATTGATTCCAGCTCTCGTTTTAATTAAATCCTGTCATAAGCTTGGGGATATTTCCTTATATTTTACAATACAATCTAGATATTTGTAAAAATGCATTGTTTATTATGCTTTAGGCCTATTATAATTAAGGATAATAATTTTATGTTATCATACCTGTATTCCTATGTAGAGTATACGAACCTAGAATAATACTTACCGTATGAGCTGAGGAAACATTCTGCAACCCCAACTGTTGTCAGAATGCTTACCGTAATTGATTTGATTTGACTTATTTGGTTCCACAAATAACATTACATAACATAACATTAAAATGAACTAATTGAACCTGTATAACCAAGTAATATTTAGATATATAAAAAATGGACGTAATTAAAATATATTTATATCATGTAACTGTTCAATGTATAATCATTTAAAACCTATACATAAATACAAAAGACTACATGCGAACCTCTGTCTTTGAACACAAATTTTATTCAAAACATGAATATTTCAACCCGTCCTCGGGTCTTCTATAGCATGTGTGACAAACAAAATATAAGTTGGCTATTACAATAATTATGATAAAAAGTACAGTAAAGTATAGTATGATTGGCCGACATTTTAATAGAATATAATGAACATGGTGATAGGACAAAAAAAAACTAAGGGGCGGAGTAAGAATATAAATATTTTCTATACTTACTCCGCCCCTTAGTTTTTTTTTTTGTCTCAGTAGAGAGTTTTACTGTACGGTATTATGAGGGTATTACATAGTTTCGTTGGTTCTTCTAGTTTTTTTCAACCACATTTTACATTTTACCTTTTATTTGTTCTTATTTTGTTCTTATTTTCTTTAGCAATTTCAGCCACAGTGTTGTCATAAAATATGTCCTTATAAAAAGTGTTCTGGGTTAAAAATTAACTGTAGTTAATTTTTCAACTCTGAACACTTTTTATAAGGACACATTATAACAACAATACCTACCGTAAATGCTCAAATAAGCGCCGCGGCGCTTACGATTTTTGTTGGAGACTTCAGTGCGGCGCTTTTTCGAGAGCGGCGCCTGTAAACAAATATTGGCGTGGCGCTTTCCATGTCCTTCCATGTCATCATTTCACGTACTCCCGTAGTTCAGTAGGCCTATAATAAGTCCTATCATCGTAAACAAACGTTCAGTTTATAAAGAAATGCCTGTGTCTTCATTGTGTTATTTATTCATTTTAACACTGTATACATCGCATTTAGATCTCTGTTTCATTACACGCAGGTTAATATAATATTATGCAATTAGATTAAGCACCGCGGCGCTTAATGAAAAAATCTCGTTTGGTGCGGCGCTTATTCGTGAACGGCGCTTATTCGAGAGCGAGCCTATTCGAGTATTTACAGTACTGTAGCAAGTATTGAATTATTTATAATAGTCTATTTAGAGGTTGTTCTAAATAATTGGTTTTAGCTGATTTGAATCCTAAATTGTTTGCCAGCCATCGTATGCGTCTATGAAAAAGGTAAAGGAACGGTATTACCGTGGTTCTGCTACGACACTTTCAAAAGAAATGACAGTTCATATATCGGAAATGTTGTATGAAAATTACAATCAACGATCAAATAATATAAATAACAATAATTAATTAATCAGTAATTAATAAGATTCTACCATGAAATCAAACTTAATGTGTCACTTCATGATTATATTTTATAATCAACTATTTTGGTCTAGCAATTGAAATTTGACAGGTAGGCCTAATTAAAGAATTTCGGCCCAGTGAGAGGTAACATATTGTGAACATTACGGGTAATATCAAAATGACATCTGTAGTAAATGGTTAATGATAAAAGAGGTTCTTTTGTTGTGTCAATAGCTCAAACGAAATCTGCGTTATATTCTTCACTATTGAAAAGTAATAAAATACACACTGTTTACAAACTCTTGGCTGGTGGTCTTTTTTTGGCGTTGACAAAATACAAGCTTGAGTCTCTAATCACTCAATCAAAGCATAAAATAAGCATAATTCTTTTTCTACCAACAATTCTTTTATTGACATGTGTTCATCAAGGTAATAAGCATGTTCATCGACGCTGGTCGCAGTAGGTGTTCATTTCATTTCACCTTTAAACTAGATAATTTTATTCATACCTTTATATTGACCAGATTAAGTATTCTTTGTACCTGTTAATATGAAGAAATGTTTGTACACCTATGAGCTTTAACTTTTCTCAGAAGCCAGAGGCCCCAGACGTTAAAGGGCCTAAGATAATAATCGGCATAATAATAGGCGGCATAATAATAATAATAATAATAATAATAATAATTATTATTATTATTATTATTATTATTATTATTATTATTATTATTATTATTATTATTATTATTATTATTATTATTATTATTAATAATAATAATAATAATAATAATAATAATTATTATTATTATTATTATTATTATTATTTTATTATTATTATTATTATTATTATTATTATTATTATTATTATTATTATTATTATTATTATTATTATTATTATTATTATTATTATTATTCTGGATTTGGCACAAATCTAAAAAGCGGGCCCCTAAAGTAACAAACGTGTAAAAAACTTTAAAAATGTAAATAATAATAATAATAATAATAATTACAGATTAAAATAGGAAGATAATAAATTAGGTAGGGTACCTCTGAAAAACAATTCTCCTTACATAAGAAATTAAAAAATAATCAAAATAATGCTTCACTCCAAGGTGCACCTGATCCCCAAATGAGCACTCTTCTGGACTTTACATGTACCCATG